CAATTTTTACACTTGCACGGCCCGTGTTTGTAAACTGTTGGTAAGAGTCATGTTTTCGTCTGACTCCAAGCAATGCCCAAAAAAAAGAATCAACAAACTAGTTTTTGGCCAAGATTTGTGGAGGGCACCTCTTTGGCAATGTGAACTCTCAAGGCAAGAAGCACATATTGGTTAGTGGTAAGTACTATTTTTAAATGCAAAATTGGAAATGAAAGGAATTAGCTATAGAGGTGTCAATCACAACTCAATTATGTTGATTTACTCAAACTTGTCCATCAATAACCAGCCCAAACCCATTCATTAATTTTGAATGGGTTTCAAGGCAAGATTTATGGAGGGTACTCCTTTGGCAATGTGAACTCTCAAGGCAAGAAGCACAGATTGGTTATTGGTATTGTTTTTTTAATCCAAAATTGGAAATGGAAGGACTTAGCTGCGAGTAAACATGGAAACAGAATGCTAAGAGAAAAACGACAGTCCACATTTTCTGTGATATTGCACAATTTAAGAGGGGGTGGAGGGTACTGTTCTAGTGTCAATCATTTGGAATTGCCATTATTCATACCAGGAATCATATTGACCTTTAAATTGCGCCTTTCGGCTTAAAATGGTTTAGACTCAGATTAAAATATTTTACCTTTCTTACTTCTGACTGTGATACTTCACCAAAGATATAATACGTAAATTGCAAAATCAAATTTTAAGTAACGAAATTATAATTAGTATCACAAACATCTTAGAGAATAATAATTTTTTGGGATAATTTTAGAAACCTCCCCTGAGGTTTCTGACAATTTCACTCGCCTCCATTCAACTTTGAATAATTACACTAACCTCCCTTCATGCAGTAAAATGACTATACTATCCTTCACTGATAGATAATTCCTACAAAAAACTCTAAAACTACAATTAATCATTCATTCTAACGCAATGGCTGCCACATATAACAAACTTTTAAACTCTCTCTCAGAATCTCTCTCCTATCTTCTCTTTCTTGCATCTCATAATCCACTCTTTTTCAGAACCACCATTTACACAACCATCTAAATAGATACTCTATCTTTTTTATTTTCCTTTTTTTTGTAAGTATTTTTGAATTGAAATTGCTAAACGAAAGTTGCCGAAATAGATTTGTTGCATGTCAAACTAAATGAAAATGAAAATGATGGTGGTGATACAGAGTACAGATAAGAAAATAAAAGTGATGGCTAAAAAAAGAACATGGATTGAGGAAGGTTACGCTTATACTAATTGTGCAAAATGAATTTTGGGATATAAAAATTGCAATAAGATTTGTCTAGAGACATGGAACGTGATCTCCAGTGTTGCTTTTGGTTACTCTGTGTTGGTATTTTTGGTGGGTTAGATTATTTTAGTATCAACAATATTGTAGCCATTTGGATTGAGTTTGGATAGTAACATTGGCCAATTCAAATGCTGAATTTAGGCAAAAAAAAATTCAAGCTAAAAATTAGGTTGAGTGCAAACTTCAAGTGCCATAGTTGATTTACATAAGAAGTTTTGAGGTAGCAAAGGTAGGCTGTCAAAATTGTGAGAATAGAGGAATTAACATTTTTTTTTGGTGATCCGGAACATGTCCCGACTCGAGCCACTTTGGACAGGAGCCGACACACTAAACCGGGGAGATATATTGCGGCCCCACACGACGCACCCGAAGTAAGTCATTAGGGTTCAAATCCAGGGTAAGATTTGAACTCAAGACCAAGCGAGTCCTGAGAGTTTGCTTACCACTAGACTACCCCCGTGGTGGCTAGAGGGGATTAAGTTGAGGTGATTTATTGAGTTCATTAGAGTGGTAGTTATGCCGTTTGCAATAGTTGCCATATGGAAGAAATTCATGAGTCAGTTTTTCTCCCCTTCTAACTAACAAAGGGGTATTTTAGGGTTTTTGAGGACAAATCTAACATATCGGGTCTATATTGCTACTGAAATGCTAATGATAGGGGTGGTAGGTGTAATTTTTTAAACTAGAGAGGAGCTACCTGCAATAGTCAGAAACCTCAGGGGAGGTTTCTGAAATTATCCCTAATTTTTTAGATAATAACTAGCACATAGTACAATAGTGATATATATTGATTACCTTATAGATATGGTCTTACATCTAATTATACCAGTTGTAGCCCATTTAGTGTTGTCCAAACTCGATGCATGATCACAATGAGCCTATTTTGAAACCCAAACCCAGCCCAACACATAGGAAATTCAAACCCCTTAATTTCTTGGGCCGAAAGGCCGGGTTCCATCCAAGCCTACAATTTTGACAATCTAGTTTGATTTTTTTTAGTGAACAAAATTTCAACATAAGGAGATGGCATGTGACGTCCCTGTTGGCTTCACTATAGATTAGGAAAAGATGATAAAATTTTTTTTTTTTTTTACTTTTCTTGTTTGTAGATGATAATTTATCTATAATTAAGGAAAAGATTAGTCCTTAACTTGAAATAAAAAGCAGTCTCCTTCAACATTTGTTATGCTAAGCAGTACGTGGATTCAATAAAGACTATGAAAAGGATTTACAACCTTGTAGGTACTTACAAAGCATAATGACTGATTAGCTGGCATTTCTACTTGACCTCAGCTAGTTGAGATTTCTCCAAGCCCTGCCTGATACAGCACCAATACAAGAATTATTGCCCAACCAGAACAAAGCAACAACAAGTAGAATCACCAAAGGTAAGCCGCCGCCTCACAATGTTGTCCCCTGACTCTTGTATATACTTGGTAGGATGTGGAGCAAGCAAAAAGGTATCAGGTCCAGGAGCAAAAGGATGAAAGACGCTGTATTTGGGGGTTCAAAGTCGCGGTCGCGGTTGCGGTCACGGCCTGGACCGTTGCACATCGGTCGCGGTTTCGGCGAGACGTGAATTTTTGTAATATTTAATATTCTAAAAATTGTAAAAAATATGATAAATAAAAATAATTAAAAAATTAGTAAAAATAATAAAAATTCGAGTTGACTCGAGATGAATCGGAGTGATTCGGTGTGACTCGGCCATTTCAACCCTTCACGGTAACGTCTCGGCGAGTTGAATATCTCGGTATCGTTTCATCATGGTATCGTATTGGTGAGGGCCGAGTCGTCACCGTCTCGGCCGAGTCTTCGAACCATGTACTCGTACGACACAGAGACCTTGTGTATGATCGGGAGAAGATGGATAGTTATTTGAGTGAGGATTAATAATAGAAACAGCTTTTGGAAAGGGAGGAAACAGCTTTTGGAAAAGGAGGAAACAGCTTTTGGGGGTACAGACACACGTCTGTTAATAGGTATTTTCTTTACATCCAACTCTAAAACAATCTCATTTTGTTTTCTTTACATCTGAACTAATTAGAGAATGTTGATCCAAGAATGGTTACCTTTAATTCAGTTCCCTTTTCTGAAATTTTTCCTTTTACTAGATTGACTCTGTTGTATCTAGATGATGATTATCCTTCTCATTTAAATGGCTCAGATTGTTTTACTTTGATTGCAGATATTGCTTGAGCAGGGAAGCTATAGCAGTACTGCTGAACGAATGCAAGATTACCAAGTAATTGCGTTGGTTATACTTCTGGGGTATGCGTTGATTTGATGAATTAATTTATTCAGTAGTTTTATTCTTTATATGATGATTTCCTTTCCACTACTTATCTTGGTTAACTGAGAGACTACAAATCTTTTTAATTTCAGGCCAAAGCTGAAGTTTGTTCAAGACCAAATTCAGGAAAATGTGAAAAACTTGATGTCTCAGCAATTACATATTCCTTCAGGTGGCTCTAGACGATATGGAGATATCGATGACAATCCTTCCTTGACCAGACCCAGCTTTTTGGCCTCCTGCAGTGTCTTTTTGGCCTCTGAAAAGAAAAGATCCTCATGGCATTTTTAATGTCTTTGGATAGCTCTTTGAGAATCTTATACTAATTAGTGGGTGAAATGACATGAGCAAGTATATTACATGATTTTGCTATTAGGCATTGTGGTATTCTTTTTCTTTTATATGTTATAATCTTTCATGGATCATCGTATGCCTCATAGAAGCTTGATTTATGAATACCCTAAATCTGCCTCTCCAAAATTTTGCCTCTCTCCTTACATGCACAGATGGTTAGACTTGAAGATTAACAAGCTTTTCACCTTGCAGTCATGCTGTCTCTTGAACTCTTTGTCATGAAAACTGCTTCTTTTTCTTAAACTGAAGTAACATTTACTGTAAGAATGTTTGGCATAGCTTCTGAAATTTCTATTCTGCATCAAATTTAGATTTTGTACAAATTGTTACATTCTTCATCTGAAGACATGCCAACTCCTCCAGGGAAGAGGTGTTGTGGTTTGAATTGCTGCAATGACCACTGATTCACTGCTTGGTGTGTCACCATATCGATGATTGTGGAGGGCCTTTTTGTGGCTTAGGAAACATCATAAAGTCATCTATGCTGAAAGAGGCTAATTGCTCTGTTTGTATTTTTTTTCCAAAGAAGATTCTCTTAATTAAGTGGTAATATAATCTATGATATTGTATCTGGCACATTTTCAACTTCTGTTATAGCGCCTAATCCTGGTTGCAAAATTTGTAGTTGGGATAATTTTATAAATCTCCCTTTAGGTTTCTGACAATTTTGCATAGCGCCCTTATGTTTTGAGTGCTGTAATAATATAAACCGCTATCACAATAAGTGATATTAAAAGGTTGTGGGAAATGTAGGCAAGTGATATCAAAGTCAAGTATTCATAGCTTACCCTTGTGAGCCAGACATGAAAATGAGATTTTTTGACCCAAAATTGGGCATTTAAATGTTTCAAAATTTGGAAAAAGGAATGGCCCTCATCAGCTTGAAAGCAAAAGGTCATGTAAAGAATATGTAAAGAAGTCAAGAGGAAAAATAGTCTTGTTGAGATCTTTCCCCACCCTGTCAGTGCAACACCACTACAAATTTATTACCTAACGAGACAATCAAGAAGAAGGTTGCAATCTTGCTTAGAGAACATGCATGCACCATTAAGTCCCTGAACAGAGGGGACTCGTGTACTGAAGCTTCATCTTTTTCAGCGCAACAAGAACATCTTGTATGCTGCTTCTTTCTTTTGGAGAATCCATCGTGCAGCCCAGAGCCACTTTCATGATTGAGGCTATGCAACTTAGCTTTTCACCAATGGATTCATCACTCTCCTTTAGCAAATTAACATCTATGACATGAGCTAATCCATCAGGTATTGAATTAGCCACCCAGCTCTTCAGGCTCAATTTTTCACCAAATATTTCACTGTTGGGATTCGTTCTTGTGAAGACTTCCATTAGCATAATTCCAAAACTGTAGAGTCGCATTTTGCTGATACCAATCCTTCCAACCCATACTCTGCAAGACACATATAAATTCATCATATGTTCTTAAATTGATTGTATTTTAGCTGGGGAAATAGTAATTTTGCTGTGTTAGAAAATTCTTCACCTGGTGAGAGATAGCCAAGTGTGACGAGTGTTTCAGTGTATGTGATGCTGTTTTCCTCGCCCAACAACTTTGTAAGGCCAAAATCACTGAGATGGGCAACCATGTCTTGATCCAGCAGGACATTACTCGGTTTCAAATCACAGTGAATTACTGGAGTTGAATACTCACAGTGGAGATATTGCAATGCACATGCAACATCAATCAATATGTCTAATCTCTGCATCAAATCCAGAAAATAGTTGTGCGAATACAACCACTTCTCAAGACTCCCATTAGGCATGAACTCAAGCACTATGCCTTAAACTCAAGATTAGAGCAGCTGCTAATAACTTTTGTGAGGTTTCGATGGCGAAGATTGCGCAACACCTCACATTCTACATCAAAACTCTTGAACGCTTCATCGACTTGTAAATTGAACGCTTTAACAGCCACATCCCTTCCATCATCAAGAGTACCTCTATAAACAGATCCAAAGCTTCCAGTCCCCAACAAATTGCTTTCATTGTACCAGTTAGTTGCTTGTAGAAGTTCAAAATATGAAATTCTTTCTAGCATTGCAACTAAGGATAAATCTGCTCCACTGGAAAATTCATCTTTTTTTCGATATCTCAGGTAAACAAATCCAAAGGACAAGGCTCCCACTGCTATTATTACCCCGAGTGAAATAAAAAAGTTTCGATGCAGCTTTTTTATTCTCAATTTGTGAGCTGAAATACTAGGACATGGGGGCACATGAAACCTTCGAGCTCCACAGAGGGCCTGATTTGAAGCGAAGGATTCGGCAGTGCAGTTTGTAAATGGCCCTTTGGATGGAATTTCACCACTTAAATTGTTAAAAGAGAGATTGATATATTTGAGATACCGAAGGGTCTCCATTGACATTGGAATTGATCCAGAGAGAAAGTTATGTGAGATCCAATGACTCCAAGCTGAACACCTTACCAATCGATTCTGGGATTGATCCTTGCAATCTGTTGTGTGCTAAAGAAAGATTTTGCAGGCTCTGCATATCTTCAATTAAGTCAGGAATGCCACCTGAGAACTAATTGGTTGAGAAATCTACCCAATTTGCCATCTTCATATTCGTAACAGCATATGGCAAAGATCCACTCAGCAAATTTGAGGAGAGGTCAAGCATTAAGAGATCTTTTGGGTTCCATATTTCCTCAGGTGGAGCAGAATATAGTCTGTTGTGACTTAGGTTAAGATGCCTTAGGGAAGTAAGATTTCCAAAGCACTTTGGAATTGAGGCCATGAATTGATTTTGTCCAAGGTTCATTGTATCCAGGTTGTGGAGAGCACAAAGCAAATGCAGGGGGACTCTGCTAATTAGTTTGTTCATACTGAGATCCATGTATTGAAGCTTTTGTAAATCTTTTATTGTAGCTGGCAACGACCCACTTAAGTCATTGTTTGATAGATCTAATAGGATCAAACTTGTCAATTTTCCAATTCCATCAGGAATGCTGCCCTTTATTTTACAATTCGGTGCATTTAGTTGTTCAAGGGAAGTTGAAAGATTACTGACCGAGTCTGGAATGATCCCATTCAATGGATTGCCACCCAAAAGCAATATTGCCAAATATTTGCATTTTGCCAATGAAGTGATGAAGCTCAACTCTGGAGATGAGGAGTCACTCACTAAAAGGTTGCCGCTTAGATCCAGCAGTTCAAGGAACCTCAGGTCTCCCATAGAAGTAGGAATTGGACCCATGAACTTGTTATTAACAATTTCTATAAGACGGAGATTAGAAGAATTTGAGATTGAACTAGGTAATGCTCCAGAAAGATGATTAATGCCGAGATAAAGGTATTCTAAATAAGGGAATGTTGATGGAAGATTGCCTGAAAGTTGATTTTGTGTAACTGCCATAATACTCAACTTTGAGAGTATTGGAACCAGTTAAGCTATTGAATTGTAAGCTGAGTTGTTGGAGAAAGAACGAGTTGCCAATCTCTCGTGGTATGACACCTGGCAAAATAATATTGAGCACATATATTAAACCATATAAGTGTCTAATTTCTGTCATTGAGAAAATTGTCGTACCTGTTAAGTTGTTGTATCCAAAGTTTTGCATTTTAATCATAGTTGAATTACCAATCTCTTTTGGAATTTGACCTATAAAAATGAAATGGAATAAATATCAACAAGTTGAGGTTTTTGATGGACATTTTAAAGAAAAGTAAATGAGAAAATTAATTAATGGGCCAAAAGCGGGAAATTGGCCACATTCCGGCACCCATCAACATTTTAAAATTGGCTTGTTTCGGAATTAAAAAAAAAAGACATTTTGTTAATATGGTGAAAAAATTAATTAATGGGCCAATTCGGAATTACCTTGACTGTCGAAAGAGTAAGGAAGAACTGGTTGTCAGAGTTTGTTGATAGCTATAACCAACCTAGTGATGAATGGACGAAATATCTTTGCATCGATGATCATTTAGCTGGACCGTACCTGAGCAGTTGATCCTTTGGGTAGAATTTTGTTAATTGCTACTTTTAGTAACTTGGGATTTGTGAATTAGTTTTGAATTTAGTTTGCTTTAGTGTTATTCTTATTTTTCATTTACCTCCCTTTAAAAATCCTCCATTCTATTGATTTGGAAAGAAATAATTTCCTACCTGCTCCCTGTGGAATCGACCCTACTTGCCATTGTACGCAAAATTAATATTTGTATAGACAAATCTGGTATATCGGATCAAACAAACTCTTCGGGAATTGGGTGAATCAAGTAACCCATTGCACACCTAGGGTCCCTGCTCCAGTACTCGGATTTGTTCTATAATTAATTGTGGTGGTAATTAGAACTTTTTAGTATTTATTATTGCACAGGTTCGGCACCTGTCACTGTTCGTCACTCTGTGTTAGAGAGGTCTCTGCCATGTAATACACCTGAGTCATAGCATCCATTGGGATGAATAAGGATTAATAGAGTTAAATTTATTTCGACTTGGATGGGAATCTATTTCATTAATTGTAAGAAAAACTTACCAGATATTGAGTTCTGGCACTATCACCCTGAAATCCCTCCGAAAAAACGAGCTACCTAGTAGGATTTGAAACATACAGCACTGTCCGCTCGCGATACCACTGACGATACTCATCGGATGGATATCTAGGATCTTCAGCTACAACACCATCTTCCACATGAGAATGACGATCAGTCCACACATCAATATATGCTCCATGTGTAGTTATCCAGTTCTGATTCCCCTTGCCACGACGATCCAAAGAATGTAGTGCTGCTTGATTTTCGGTCAATCTCAGATCAGGCACGGGCTGATGATATCCAAACTGTCTCATAACGTGATACGGAAGATGTGGCTCGACAACTTCCCAACATATGAGATATGTGACAGATCTCCAAATATCGCGTCCTGCTGTACAATATGCAGGCAGAGAAGCAAGAACATCCTCCGAATATGGCTGCCATATGAACTGCAAGACAATAATTATTCAACACACATTAGTTTTTAGAAAATTTCGGCAGCATTTTCCCTATAACTGGACGAAAACTCCCTGCCAAACACAACAATTTTTTGACCAAGGACAAGCATCATCTTGTATATGTCCAACTAATCTAAACAAATCATGCTCATTTGCTCAAATATAAACAAATTAGATACTTGATAATATATTGCTATTACGAAATGATAAGACTTGAAGATCACGTAGGCCTGTCAACTGATCTCGAAATATGGACACAACATCTCTCGCTACTCTGTGTAAATCAAATTGAACATTCCACCTGCATTCAATAAATCATGACTCTTTATAACTCCCCAACGTCTCGAGTGTCTTATCATTTTTAGGTGCATATATATATATCTGATATACATACCGAGCTCCATACGGTCCAGGATAGTGCTCTAACAGTTGCACTCGATTAGGACGCATTGTAGGTATCCGTTCCCACGCCCATAGCTGTAAAAAAGTTAGATTTGAATTCGATGGACTTTGATGTTGTAGTAAATTAACAGGTACATAAAGCCAAGATACCAATTAGGGTACTGTACCTGTAGCAAAACTAATGGTCAGGCAATAGCAGATCTGAAGGGAGATGTTGCGGCACACAATGAACGATACAGAGTCGCTAAAACCGCACTGCGCCAACTGTATTGTGTAACAGTTTCCAAGTCTCGTAATAATGGCATATACAATAGCGGGACTTTATTATCGAATTTATCGGACAATAAATGGCCCCCTAACATCAGAAGCAGGTATATGCGGGCCCGCTGTCGACATTGGACATCCTGGGCATCCGGTGGCAGCTCTGAATCTAATACTCTAGATAAACACTCCAATTTGAGCCGTTGTCCATCAAAATCGGACATCATTGGAGAGAAATCAAGCAACTCCTCACATAAATTTCTCCACTTCTCAACGCTATGAGATGTATCTATCCCTGTAACTGGAGATCCATCTATGGGTAGCCCCCACAGGACCTCTATATCCTGTAAGGTAACCGTAGTCTCCCCAACGGGGAGATGAAATGTATGAGTCTCGGGCCGCCACCGCTCCACTAAACTAGTGATCAAGGCATGGTCAATCATCATATATCCATACTCTAATACCCCTTCAAAACCTGCCAATCGAATATAATGCCGAACAGTTTCGGGGATAGGTGTATGCTCCCAAAAACCCCTATCACATCTCCTAACATCCAGCTGATCACCCACAATATGCCCATGAAATATAGAATGTGCCCGGTGAACTGAACCTGCTGGTATAACATCATACTCAAATGGACCCGGATGTAGGTCTGGCTGTATAGGGATGTCTGCCATACCAAAAACAGTATCTACAAATTGCATAGGTGAGAGATACGACCACACACATTAGAAAAGTAGAATATGAGATCTAGATGCGAATTCATATTATATCGACTTTAAATATGCGAAACAGCTCAAAATAAATCAGAATTATAATATCATGAAAATGTTTCATCCAAAAGGTATCACATATAATATACTACTTCGAAAATCCCACCCAGGTACGAGGAGTACAATGGATCTATTGGCTAAATAACAAAATCAAGCTCTAAAATTAGGGCAATTTCTTCTATTGTGGCCCGACTGATGACAATTTGTACACCTTCTTGGTTTCTCAGGGTCTCTCTCATCCATCTCATTCCGAATTCTTCTAGCTCGTACCCTTCCCGCCCGATGGGCAACATATTTACTTCTATCTGTCTGCAGCTCCCAATCTGGTTGGAGCCAAGTATCCCGATGTGGCAAAGGGTTAAACTTTCCTGAATACTGTACTGCCCATCGCCTTTTTGTGAACTGAGGGTCTACAAGCGCTCCTGGATTATCCATTCGGTGCCTACACACAGCCAACACGTGCGAACAGGGCAGTCTGTAGCACTACCACTTACCACAAGAGCAAGTTTTTTCAACATATTTGACCGTTTGTGTATTACCCCTTTTCCCATCCACACGTCGGCCTGTCACAACTTTATACACCCCGGAAGAGCCATCGAACTCAACAACCCTGTGACTTCCCGCTTTCTGATCCGAATTTTTAAACTTCCGCCATATCTTTGCAGGAAATGGATTGCGGCAATGTCTGGCCTCCTCCCTTCTTGTTTTAAACAACTCAACTGTCCGATGAAAAGTCAAATTAATACAAGCTCGGATAGGCAAATGATGTGCTCTTTTAAGTACATTATTATAACTTTCGGATATGTTGGTCGTTAGAATACCCCACCGATGCTCACCGTCATGTGTTAGACACCACTTTTCGATTTCAATGTTAGACAGATAAGTCCATGCGCCTGGAAACGTGCTCCGCAATTCTCGTTTGAATGCCTGTCACTTGCGCAATTGTCTGACTCTTCCCATTGCCCAACACAACCTTTTTAGGTGCAAACCTTTGAAGTGAGTCATTAGATTACTCCTAACGTGTCGTAGGCAAAACCTATGAAAGGCCAAAGGTTCTTGCCAATAGTCAAAATGTGTCATGGCATGAATGATACCATTATGTCGATCTGAAATGACATAAATAGGACACCGATCACGGGCCACGTGGTATCTAAATTGCTCCATGAACCAAGACCAACTAGAAATAGTCTCTTCGTCGACAATGGCATAAGCTATTGGAATAATCCTGTTGTTGGCATCATGCGTGACTGCAACAAGTTGTTTGCCTTTATATTCGCCACGCAAATGCGTGTCATCAACACATATAACCGGTCGACACATGTGAAATGCATCAATAGCCGGTCCAAAGGCCCAGAACACATACTTAAATGTCTTCACGTGATCCGTACTATCAGAATGGTGCAACCACCTGATCACAGTACCCTGATTTGACTTCATAAGTGCATCAACATATCTTGGTAGGTCGGCAAAATTGGCATCCCAAGAACCAAATACAAGTTCAATAGCTTTGCGTCTGCCGTACCAAGCCTTTTTATAAGAAACATCCACCTTCAGCACTTTTTTAACATGACTTACTATGTTTTTTACTTTGTACCCAGGATCGTCTTCAATGCTATGAACAATGTGTCTAGCAATAACCGACGATGTGAGGCTAGCATTGCTATTACTGATCAAATCACCTAGACAATTGTGATCGTTCACCCACTTAGTTATTTGCCACAATCCATGTGTCTTTTTTTTCACTGCTTGGACACACCAGTCGCATGGAGGTTCCGATGAGTCGGCCGCAGTGGTGAAACTCCTTTCAACTGTAAATTTACATTTGGCAATCCATGTGTTACTCTTGCTCTCAACAACCCTAAACTCCCTATTATTATTGATAGACCACATTCTAATAGCCCTGCTCAGCTGTTGTTTGCTTTCAAATCTCATATGCATCCTTATATTATTATTCTCCTCACTGAATGTCACATTGCGCTCCAACTCAC